AAAGAAGAGGGCAATATAGATCTTATATGTGTTTAAATGGGTACTAATTGAGCTATGGTCAGATAGATGTAACGTGAGTCTTCTTGGTATGTAGTGGTATGTCCCATATAATTATTGATGAAATTGGTTTGTTCAGAAAAGCAGTTCTGTAAAGGAACATGTGAATTCATAAATGATATTGATTCTCTGTAATTTACATCTTGCAAGTGAGTTATTGTTATTGATGATAAGTTTAGATGTTTTAAATATTTTGTTTTATGCCTATCAAAAAGACTCACGCTACATCTGATCATAGCTCAATTAGGTTTCATTTAAACACACACAGAAACCTACCAAACTCTATCCGCGACATACAGATATAATAGCCCCACATTCACATGAAAGAAAAGGCTAAAAATAATGGAAGCACTAATAAAAAAGAAAGAAAGAAAAAGACGGTAGCCAGGAACATCAAATATGAACACGGCCACAATATTCTGAATGTGCTTGGAAAAAACAACAACAAACATTCCCATTCACTCTAGAATTTCTATATAAAGAAATAATCATACATAGAATCAATCAGCAATATTAATGCGATTAATGGCGAAATCACTTCGCTAGTAGAACATAATGTATGCATTAAAATACTGTTAATCCATTGAATGATGTGATCCTCATTTGTAAAACTGTTGTCAGATGTTTCTAGTCTATATTTTTTAAAGTTAAGCAAGTACTTTCGAAGATCCATGTCTTCATCGTCAGGCTGTAGTTTTTTTCCTTTAAAGTTAAAACTTGAAGACGAAATAATTGTTTCTAGAATGAAAGATGTTTTTTTAAGAATGTGCTATTTATTGACGGTTGTACGTGAGAGTTGCAACGCTAAAGTTCAAAATTTCAAGTGAGAAGGGCCGAATACAGAGACTTGGTGCACTACGTGCCACAAGGTCCCCAAACGACACATTGCAGGTTTTGAATTCAGAGTTGTCCTTCTCTTTCTGTCAGTTGCCATCCAAGGGTATAAAACCTAGTCTCTCCGGCTATTTAACCATAGCTGGAGGGAGAAGAGGATTCACACTTTTCTCTATATGTAGTGGATTCGATTGGAATTCGAACTCGGTTCTCCGATTCCTCAATCCAAGTCGCTATCCATTAATCCACCGTGTCTCCTTTATTATTACAAAATAAGCTCTGTAAAACATTGAGCTCTATTTGTGAATCAGTTTTAATATTCTATATTATTAGGATCCACTTGGATTATATACGAATGGATTATTACCTGTACTATATATATATATATATATATATTTTATATATATATATATATATTGTATTTCGGCAGCAAATTCTCTTTTAGGCATGTCTGGTTCAACAATAAATTACAGACATTTAACAAAATCCGTTCATACTCACGAATAACCTTCCGTGTATCGATGCTAAAAGATGAGAGAAATGTGCTATACCTGTTTAAATTTCTTTTATTTTCATTTCTCAAGTACTTTCGATCTTCTTCCAAGATCATCTTCAGAGGTGCAAGTGGTACAAAACTATATGTTGTTCATTAATGTAAGTATTTATACAAAGATGAGCGTTGTTATCCATTACCGTAATTTCTTCATTATGCTTTTAAATGCAAAACGGTTGACAATGTGCTGAGCGTTCATTAGAACGTGAAAAAATTATCCATTATGGAATTTGTTTCTAGTTCAAAGTGATAAACCCAACAATGCTAATACTGGGTTAAGAAACTTTGAAGGAAATCAGCTGGGTCTGTCTCAAACAATGACAGATTTTCCCGTGATGTGATCAAGCATATCTCCATCATAGTCACACTATGAACTTTTCAGCACATCGTTATATTACTTCAAATATTATTTTTAGTGAATATCTGTTTTTAAAATAGTTAGCCCAATTATTTTTTTTTTAAATTTTGAACATCGTGTATTACGCCTACCGACCTGCGCACCTCGAGAAAATAATAAAGAAAATGTGCTCTTTGGCAAGGTTCGAACCTGCGTTCTCGTTGTAAGAGAAATCACCGTTTGAACCGACGTATTCGGCCACAGAGAGTCCAAACCCGGCACGGCTGTATTTACTCTTTTAAGGAATGTGCATTATCTCGTTCGGATTTTCTCGAAAGCAGGTATCTGTTCGATTTCATATCCGAAATGAGGCGTCCCTTTCAAACACGAGTATCCACTAAAAATATCGTTTGAAATAATAAAAACATCGGATTAAAATAAATCCATTAATTCTTTAGAAATTGCTTTGTTTACGTTTAGGATAAATTATCCTTATTTATATTACCTACATTCACATTTAGTCATCCTAGTATAGTTTTGCTCCGTAACATTTTGAATAGTTTAAAATTCAAGGCTGAAGAACTGTTATCAAGAGATAACAAGCAGGTTTTAGAGCCGGACGAATTACAGTGGACCAGGTATTCAATTGTACGATCTTCGTAGAGAAACACCTACAACATTGGAAGGACATAATACACAACTTTATCGATTTAAAGATAGAGTTTAATTGTATATGGCATGACGGCCTTTCGCAAATTCTTAGGGAATTCACTGTATATTAGGGAAAGATGCTACCAGCGCAGTTCTTCTGGAAAAAACAAATAAGAAGATTCTTCCGGACGATTGTCGGCGTGCGACAGGGATGCGTACTTTCACCAAGATTGTACAACCTATTTCTAGAGAGAATCATGTCAGAAACCTTGAATGATGATGATCCTTCAATCTGTATCAGTGGCCGATCCGTCTCTAACTTATGTTTTGCAGATGACATTGACCTCATAATAGGTAATATCAGTGAGCTCCAAGACTTGACCAACAAACTTTTTGAAAGAGCAGGAACATATGGAATGAAGGTCAGTTCGGAGAAATCCAAATTAATGGTGAATAGCACAAACAGTAACATATGTGTAAGCATTACCATGAATAGGAATTCACTGGAGGAAGTGTCTAGTTTTAAATAGCGTCCTGGGTATGACGATAAACTACATCCGCGTCCTGGGTAAGGGTGAAAGCACCTGTTAGGGGGGGCCCAGCTATAGGCAAATAGTTAACATCCAAACTTTTGTAAAAATAGGTTTTAATACCAGAAATACTTTGTAATAAAAAAAATTATTACCAGCAATAATTTTTTAAGGAAAATGTATTATCAGCAATATTTAAAAAAAAATACCAGCAATACAAACAGTTATACATTCTTTGAAAAAAATACGACCAGCTATAGATTTCTTCAAGGAAAAGTATTCCCAGAAATAGATTTTTGAAGAAAAACATATTAGTAGCAATAAAAATTTTGTCGGCATTAAATAACCCATTGAGGTTGATATGCCGTAAAAACCAAAGCAGACGAGTTTGAAATACTTGGGGGCAATCTTGTCTAAAGATGGTACCTGCAACTCGGATTTCCGCACACAGATTGCCGCAACCATGGCAGCGATGGCCAAATTGACAAGAATATGGAGAATCAAAATCAGCTTTCACACGAAGTTCAGACTGTATAAATTGCTGGTAGTCTCCATTCTCCTATATGGATATGAAACGTGGACACCGTTGGCAGAAGCAGAGAGAAAAATGCAAGCGTTTGTGTACAAATGCATGAGAAAACTCCTTGGCATCTTCTATTGGGAACATAAAACCAATGAGTTTGTGAAGAAAATGGCTGAAAATTTTGTAGGCCACCAGGGATCTCTTCTTGTCACTGTCAAACGGAGAAAAATAGCGTAGTTTGGACACTTTATAAGGCATGACAGCCTGTTCAAGACTATCATGCAAAACATCGTTGAAGGTGGACGTAAAACTGATTGGACAATGCCAAACAGTGGGCAAGTATGACTATATCAGAATTGCTGATGGCTGCCGTTGATAGACCGTTGTAGAAGAGATTCAATATGGCTTCTGCATTCGGATCCCACCTACGATTACAAAAGTCAAGGGGATGATGATGGTGATGACATTCAGATTAATGACTTAATTTTTGTTGTTATTATCCGTGGCCGGACATTTGACCGTGAGACATTTGGTCAAACGGATATTTGGCCAAGAAAAAATAGTAATAATCAATACTTTAAGTAATTTAATTAGTAGTGTTATAAGGTAGAATAGGACTAATAATTATCACTGAATTTCAAGTGATTAAATTACTAAATCTAAAAAAGTTAAAAGTTTTCTTTGTTTATTGAAATTAGTATTTTAAAAAATATTCGAGTGTATTTGGGTAAAAAGTAGCACCTAATTATTTAAATTCGTATTTAACAATAAGATAAAAGCGAGTTCATCCTTTTAAGATAATGATCATTAAAAGCGAAATTCAAAGATCTTTCATATCATAAAAGCTTAAAAATTTTGCTGCAGTAAAATGTGCTTTTTCTCTAAATACTTATCATCTTAGAGTAATATTTGAAGCAAAATATAATATATACAGATTAGATTTTTAAAAAAGCATGTCATTCCCCACCCCTCAAAAAAAACAAAAACAAAAAATTATAGATTAATACAGTAAATAAATATAAATATATGTAGCACATTACGATAAAGAGTTGTTACATATATGGAAGCACGCTATTACATCTTCAACTAAATGTCCATTTGGTGAAATGTCCGTCGTTCAAATGTTCAAGTAGAGTTATTATCAGAATATTCTGGCCGTTGTGTCCTCTGACCTTTTTCAGCTGCCGGTTGTTCCGGGTAATCGTTAGGGAATTTTGAACTGAATGTTTTATTTAAACTACGGGGGTACATTTTTTTTCGTTTCCTTGTTCATGTCTAGTTTTATTTATTTATTTGTTTTTTCTTCTTTTTTTTTTTTTTTAGTGCGACTCAGTATTTTTCTCGTCCTGTTTCCACTGAATCTCATTCTATAAATGCCCAGCTCAGGGATAGAACTCACAATTACTCTGTCACCAAATTCACGATCTAATGCTTTTTTTTATCTACTATTTCAGAAATCCCTGAAGTTTACTCGGATCGACAGACGTGACAGAGAGGGTTTCATTTTTACAGACTATGATTAAACGAAGACATCGGTTAAGTTTGTATAGATTTCTAAATCGTTTAATGTCTTAGTGAAATAGAAGCAAGATTTTGTGTGCTTCTTTCTGTTTGTAAAACAAGGACAACCGTTGTGTACGTTGTGGCCATGAAGAACCGAAAATAGAATAAATAAAACCAATAGAAACCAAGAATAAACTAAATTTTCTATACAGAGAAACGTATGCGACAGTGAACAACTGACAAGATAGCTCTTAGCGAGTGTCAGTGTCAAAGAACTTAGTTTTCTGGTGATTCAGAGGCCACCTCGGCCAAGCAAAGGAAACTTTTATGTCCGGTTCGCTGTCCACTCGATTGATTAGAGGCCAAGATTTGGGACTAAACTGAGTCAAGAGAAGAGACGAAATGTATTTCAATATTTCACCGGTTCTGTTTAGTGGCAACGAAAGGCTTCCCAAAAGAAATTAAAAATCAAGAGTTCAAATACTTCGTGTAAAGATAGGCATTTCGAGTTGAGAACTAAGGCGTTATAAATTTATGGTATTCCTTAAAATCTTAAGGATCTTTGATTGTTGGTAATAGCCAAGCGATCGACCAAAGGATAATTGTTCATGTAAGCTTGATCAACATTATAGGCGCGACAAAATGTAAACTAAAAGAATGAAGATGAATAAACCTCTACTAATAAATGAATGAAATAATTAATCGCCTATCGAGTCGATTCGTCCAAAAACATCGATCAACCTATAAGAGTCGACATACAACGATCAATCAACCTTGTTCCGCTGGCATCGATTAATTATTATACTCATTCCATCTTTCTGACTTTTTACTATTAGATTCTTAGATCTTTCTTTCTTTTCTTTTCTTTTCTTTTCTTTCTTTCTTTCTTCCCTTTATTCATTCTTTCTTTCTTTCATTCCTTCTTTCTTTTTTCGTTTCTTTATTTCTCTTCTTTTCTTTTCTTTTCGTTTCGTTTCTTTATTTATTTATTTTCGTTTCTTTCTTTTCCTTTTCTTTTTTCTCTTTTTTTTTTTCTTTCATTCATTTTTTTCTTTCTTTCTTTTCGTTATTTTTTTCTTACTTTCTTTTTGTTTCTTTCTTTCAAATCATTTCCCATTTTCTTTTAGTGTGATCATATCTATCTATCTATCTATCTATCTATCTATTATTATAAATGTATTTTTTCGTGGGTACAATGTTTTAAGCTAAGTTTGCCTTAAATTTGGTTTTCTTAATTGATTAATTTTAGTCTAGATCTTTCTTTTTTCTTTCTTTCTTTCTTTCAAATAATTTCCCATTTTAGTGTGATCATATCTATCTATCTGAAACAGTCTATATCTATCTATCTATCTATCTATCTATCTATCTATCTATCTATTCATCTATCTATCTCATCTCTTCATCTATCTATCTATCTATCTATCTATCTATCTATCTATCTATCTATATTCATCTCTTCATCTCATCTATCTATCTATATATCTATCTATCTATCTATCTATCTATCTATCTATCTATGTTATTATTACTATAAACGTATTTTAGCGTGGGTACACGTGTTTTAAGCTAAGCATTCCTTAAATTTGTTTTCTTTAATTGAAACCATGTATAAAAGAATCGAGACGGGGTCAGTATATTATTTAGTCGGTCGGTTGGTTGGCATGAATTTCACTGTTTAAAAAAATGCCTTTACAGTCTCCAGGAATAATGCCGTATTAAAGTATCGATTATTTCCTAAAAGGTAAATCTGTCTATCAATCTCTCTATCATGTTTAATCACTATCTGTCAATCGATCTCAGTGTATAGATAAGAATGAATCGTTCTAGTCTCTAAACATCCTGCAGTCAATCTAATTATCCATCTGTCGAATAGCCGGTTTATCGATCACTGACGGAAAATTACAATGTCGTGGAGCAAAATGCCAATTCTTACCTTGCTACAGTATTTACATTCTAATTGGTAGGAGATATTTTGATAATATTCTCAAGTCTTCAGCCATCTTCAGCCATCTTCAGCCATCTAATATAGTAGCACTCATATCAGTTTACATTCTGTGTCTGAGTTTGGGATTGTGATGCAAGCAGCTTTAAGGTTTAATGTGTCGAAAGAGTTAATTATCAGAAGATTTAAAGATACAGAAATGCACACAGGCCTATTTGGCTCAATTAGATCAATGGTTGTGCTGGTGCAATAATGTATAAAGACGAAGAACGAGATCTTGGGGAGACAAGTCTGAATTCCAGTCGATTTTCGTTACGTTCAATTTCACTTAAATGCCTTTGGGAAAGGTATGAGTCCATGGAATCCTGCCGATGTGTAGCTCGTTCATAACGGCTCTATAATCGCAGGTGCGTCGAGGTACTATCATTAGAACAATTTGAGAGGCATCAGATTTCGGGTTTTCGAAATGCTGCACTAGCATCTCGAAGAATTAATACACGTATTGTATGTGTCGTAGGGATGGTGGAAACAAAGTTAGCATTGCTACACTAGTAAGAATGTCTTCGGTATACAGAAGCTTTTCAAGAACGGCGTATTTTAAGGACAGCAGTAGCAGGTTACGTGGTGTCCATGAGACAGATCAGAGCAAATGAGGTCAGCGAGGTGTTTCAACATGGACTGTTGGAATATCTTTTATTTGCACCATGACAAGAGGTATACACTCTTTTATCTAGACTTACACTTAACTCCATCGTACACATTTGCAGTGATGCTTCATTTTTTTTCATAGTTTCCGTCTTTCAGAGCTTTTTCTCGCCCACAGGTGCACCCCATAGGCATCTTAATGTCTGATACCATGTCACAAAGCACGTTTACCTTCTGTGTTTGTGAAGAAAAGGGTGAAGAGTGATGAGTATGTTGTAGTACATTTGTAAAACTGGAATCATGTCCAAGTAAAAGTCTGTGTTAAAGTCAAAAGAATACCTAAGTGTACTAAAAGGGACGCTATGTACTATTAATGCATTCCTTTAGTTAGGAAACTAAATATGTTGATCTGAACTATCAACTGTAACCCAATGATATTAACTAAACGTATAAATGTTTAATAATGAGGAAAATGTAAAAAGAATATTTATTCTATATTAATTATTCTTAAAATATATTTATAAAATGTAACGGTAGAGGTCATCACTGATGTTATCCTTGCTTCATTAAGATTTTCGGGTATTGCAACATCAGATCCATTCTGACAGGTACCCCGATCTGTTAACAGGCCACCTCTCCGCATAATTCGCACTACGCTGTGATTTTAATAATAGAAAATGTATTTATAATCAGGAGGTAGATCTTTCTTTTATAATGGCAACGAGACTTGTATTAGCCAATCAGAATTTGCTTGTCTGCTGTCTAGAGGTAAAAGATCAAAGTAGCGACATGCGCGCGCTTTCTAGTTTTGCCTCTTCTGCACATGCGCCAGTGTTATGTTAAATCTTTTTCTTTTACATTTACTTGAGGAAAAAAAACAAAGACACAAACACACACACACAAAGTTTCATTCAACGAATGGACTTATTGATTCTTTAATCCACGGATTATCCCTTTTCAGATAAATCCATCAGGATCCTTCTTTAACTGCGTCTGAGTTTTTTTTCAGTCCTTTCTTTTTTTGTGGCTCCCACGATATTTGCTAATGCTTTGCTCATTGAGTGTCCCACAAAACCTCTGCACCCTATTTCTGTCGGATTGAAGTAAGTTTTCCAACCATTTTGCTGTTACCTTTCAACTAATTCTTGGTATTTCTCTTGCTTTCTTTCGTTGGCCAGCGTGATTATATATAATAGGGTATGATATCACGATATATAATTTGACATATTAAAAAACAGTATTAAGAAAAAAAAGTTTTTGTTATGAGTTTCATCCATTAGGATTTCATCGGACTGAGATTTTCAGATATTGCCACGTCTACACATGCGCACGAAACGAGAGATGCAAGTATTTTCAAAATTTAAATTTGTGTCCAGGCTCTTACAATATATCACCATTGGTAGATTTGCTGTTGTCACAATGTGGGACAAAGGTGATGCAAACACGAAGAAAAAGAATAGAGATGAATTGGGCTTGACTGAAAAAATATTCTTTCAAAAAGAAAATATTCATACAGAAATATTCTTTCAAAAATTTTTAAACTACCAGCGTCTCTCGTTTCGTGCGCATGTGTAGATGTGGCAACGTCAACAAAGTCCTGTTCGATGAAGCCTTAATGGATGAAGCGCGTCACAAAAAAATGCTTTGCACTTTGATTTACTATTTTTCTAAATAATACGATATATATCAATTATCAGTTAAAGCAAATTTATTTTCAGCCAGCGTATTTCAAACTTTCAGTGAATTCATATTTATCTCACTCTGTTCATCTCTCTTTCTCGATCTATCTATCACAGTCAATTCACATCTATCTGTAACATTTTGTTCATATCTATCTATCTATCTATCTATCTATCTATATCTATCTATCTATCTATCTATCTCTTTCTATTTCTATTTATATTTATATATCTGTCATTGAATTAATATCTATCTCAGTTTTTGCATATCTATCTATCTATCTATCTATCTATCTATCTATCTATCTATCTATCTATCTATCTATCTATCTATCTATCTATCTATCTCTTTCTATTTATATTTAGCTATGTAATTGCATTAATATCTATCTATCTATCTATCTATCTAACCCTAACTCAGCTTGTTCATATCTATCTATCTATCTATGTATCTATCTATCTATCTATCTATCTATCTATCTATCTATCTATCTATCTATCTATCTTATTCTGTGGTTTAATATCTATCTATATTACCATTAATATCTATCTATCTATCTATTCATCTATCTATCTATCTATCTATCTCAGCTTGTTATATTATCTATCTATCTATCTATCTATCTATCTATATATCTATATATCTATCTATCTCAGCTTGTTCAATATATGATCTATTATCATCTATCTATCTATCTATCTATCTATCTATCTATCTATCTCATTCTGTATTCATTCTGTTTGTTTATTTCCCTTTCTATTTCTTAATCATCAAGTCCCTATATGCATAAGACGGAGATATAAACGCACCAAAACAATAAGTTGTCCTCAGTTCTGGATGCGAGTCGAGCTGACATTTAATATCTTTGATTCTAGTGTATCATCTATGTTAACAGAGTTCCGTTCATACGAAAGGCAAGAACTAGTTACTATAAAAGAATTCTCTTTCGTTTCGACTCTGACCGGGGACCCAACGGGCAAGTAGTTCGCATTTGATTCATTGTTCCTTGTGTTAGGAAATTTTAATGAAGTGCGGTCACATTTTTGGCCCGATAACAACGAAAGGAATTTTAGTTATATTTTCTAAGTTCACTAATAGACCACATTAGCTTCACTCTGCCGCGTGCCTACCTGTTTGAAAAAAATTCACTTGAAAATGTTATATATATAATATATATATATATATGTTATATATATATATATATATATATATATATATATATGAATATATATATATATATATATATATATATATATATATATATATATATATATATATATTTGAAATTAAGAACATAAATTTTATAAAATAGATTTTATACGCTATTTAAATTTTTCATCCTCATCTTTGTAAAATATATTTATCACAACGTTTCGGCGGTTGTAAGATCCCGGCCTTCTTCAGGTGGTTGGAATGTTGAACTGAACCCTTTATTTACGTTTTCGAGGTAGACTGTTAAAGTTCAATGTGAAATATATCTAATGGATGTCAGTTATCAGTTGACCTCAGGACACATGGCACACATGGATAATAAAATTAGCTAGTGACATATGTGAGTCGATTTAACCATGGTTAAGGCGGTGGAGAATTTGGAGAGAGGAAAAACAGGGAGATAGGTGATAACTAAAATCCAAGATATCCTTATTGGAACTAGAAATTATTTTCTCTCAGTCTATTTTATAACATATTATGTTATAATTTTCGAATAAATTATATTTGTTTCTCTTTTGTATTGAGCACTCTTTTAAGAATAGTATTTTCGATTATTGACCGGTTTATTCCGTATAAACCAATTTTAAAATTTGTATATATATATATATATATATATATATATATATATTTATATATATATATATATATATATTCATTTTATACGTTATTTTTTAAGTAAATGGTCTAACAAAAAAAAAAATTCAATCAATAACAACTGAGCAATAATTTAAAATTTACACTGTGCAAAAAAAACTAAAGTGATTTTATAGAAAATTTTAAATGTATCCAAGACAGGAATCGAATGAAATGACATTATGTTTTTGGTTGAATTCCTTTCGGAGAAAATGATTTTTTCTAAAAATTTCGAGCATTCAGGCCTTGGTAAATTTAATTCAATACAGTTTAATTAAAAAAAAACGAAATAAAAAAATAGAGCATTTAATTAAGTAAATTATATCTATAAAGATAATGTATAAACGGAAAAAAATAAAGAAATATTTTAAATAATTATCATAATCCATGTCATCATATATATATATATATTTATATATATATATTCAGATCTCCCGTGGAATTGGAATATGAGGTTCTTTACAGATCATAATTCCCAGGAAACCGACAACAGCACCTGAGACTTAATTATAGTGGTGAAGGTTATGCAGAAATTAATTAACACATTTTTGAATGGTCAAGAATACAGACTTTATATATGGGCAGAGAACGCAAAACATTTCCCAAATAAGACCCTATGCAGGTTTTGAATTCAGAGTTGTCGTTTTTTAGAGCTGATTTGCCTCAAAGGCTATAGAACCCAGTCTTTCTTTTTATTTACCCATAGCTGGAGGGAGATAAGAGGATTATATAAGTTTCCCCTTTAGGGTTTTGAGACTGTAAGTGTTTATAATGCATTCAACTGGTTTTCGAAACAAATATTCAATTCCTCAATCAAAAGCCGGGTAATTTACTCCACCGTGTCTTATGTATATATATGTGCAGCAAACTTTTTTCAGACATACAAAAGTGAGATGGGGAACAAGAGAAATTTGGTTGGTGTGTTATGCGTGGCGAGAATGGAATGAGAAATGGTAGAGTTCGAATTGCAGTCGTGTTTGATACATTAAATATATTTGAAAATATTATTTGTGAAAATGTGTAAATCATGAGAAGGTCGTTTTTAGTTAATGACACCAGTCAATGTATTTAGATTTGCACAAAGTCTTCACTACTATAATGATAATCCTTTATGGGCGGGTCGTCCCAATATCCAATTCGAAGATTCTTTAAAACTGGATATAATAGTCCATCATGAATCATCATCATCATCATCATATCTATAACTGTGTTTCATTTCTAAAGTTTTATTTTCAAGAACAAATTTACAAATCGAAGCTTTGCTGTCTGAGGGTTGCGGATTAGTAAATCCATAGTGGAAGTGTCTTTAAAAGAACATCAGCACTTTTTCTCCGGTCTAAAATTATCTAAAAAGGGGGAAGAGGCTATTTTGCCGGTCGAGGTAAAATAGAAAACATTCTTTTAAATTTATTTTACCGTTGTCGGTAAAATAGACTCCCAGGCTCTTTTGTCGGTAAATATTTTTATTATAATGATGTCAGGTAATGTTAACATAACAAAACACAAATTTAACTCAGATGTTTATTTATTTTCATCACCAGCTGTTGAGACAATTTAAAATATTTTCCACCATTTTAGTTACCGTCCTGGGTATGACGATATATAGAAATACGTCCTGGGTAAGACGATAAACTACGTCCAGCAGCAAGATTCCTTGAAAATGAGGTTTTGAGGAGCGTGGAACCACCTTTGAATTGTTGGTGTTCCAGGTCCCCCCTTTTCAGGTGGTAGCATCTGTTAGGGTCCCAGCTATTGGCAAAGAGTTAACCCCGAAACTGAGGTAAAAAGCATTATAAAAGTGTAAAAATATGTTTTGATCCCAGAAATACTTTGTAAAAAATTATTACCAGAAATAAATTTTTGAAGAAAAAAAAAACTATTACCAGCAATATATTTTTGAAAAAAAATATTACCAGCAATACATGTTTTAAAATAATATTACCAGCTATACATTTTTGAGGGAAAAAATATTACTAAATATCGATTTTTGACAAAACAAAATATTACCAGGAAAAAAATTTGTCGGCTTTAAATAACCCATTGAGGTTGATATGCCATAAAACAAACCAAACCAAACCAAACCTTCTTTTCTTAAAACGCAAAATCATTTATTCATTATCAATTATTAAAAGAATTTATAGAAGTCTCTTCAGGCATAACAGTCTCTACAAATGCCAAATTTGCTCTTGGGCATGGTTCTCTTGACAATACACTGTGCACCCACTGAAGACAACAGTCACAGAACGCATAATCCATGTTGTTCAAGTCTTGCTTACACAGGTCCCACCACCAAGCACTGCGCTGACGATCTCAAGGAGCCATAATCATGTTGCAGAGCTTTGCAAATATCCGGATCAAAATATATGTGGATCTTCTGGATTGACACATATTCATCCAGACAAGCATGCTGTTGGTATTGCAGAAGGATTTTGTTCCATTTTATATATACGAATGGCATATTTATAAGATAAATATATTAAAATATCTGTGTATACCGGTCACTGGATGATTTTTTAAAGAATATTTAGACCTTATATGATATATATATATATATATATATATATATATATATATATATATATATATATATATATATATATATATGTTTGAATAAAAGACAGACCACGTTAAGATTCCATGTAATAAGCTATTTCACCATAACCCCTTTAACAGGGTTCTGGATCATCAGACTTTACTTCCAAAAGCTGAAATGAAAAATGAAAAGAAATTCACACGTTTTTTACGGACCTCATCAAGTATACGTAAAGTTAACGAAGTGAGGAAGTGAGGTGGGAGAGAGGATATGAGTGTGTCATATGTATCATTTTAGTTTCCTATTTTAACCCCAGTGTGTCGGCTGGATGTTGCTCAAATTTAACGCGTCTCGTCTCTAGATAAAGGTGGCTAAGGGGTGAATGATAAGAACTACATTAAAGGAAGAAGTTACAACAACCCCAATAAATTACACGACAGGTTTCATTCAAATTCTTAGACGCTGTCAGTTCGCGTTACTTTAACGTGCATATTTGGGAGGTTAAGGTTTGATAAATATCTAAATGTTAAAACAATCTACGAAGAAATTAATTTGAAATTCGGTGGAGTTTTGGGTATTTTCTATGAAACAATCGATTGGAAAAATCCATAGACAGAACATTGAAAGAGCAATCCATTTTATATTTAGTAATTTTTTTTTTTCCACTAAAACTTTTATCTTATAGCTTGTTAGGTTGACATCTATTCGTTTGATTTTTGTTCATTAAGTAAACTCGTGATTGTTTTTGATTTTTTTCATTAAGTAAACTCGTGGTTGTTTTTATGTACCCAATTATCATTTTGTTATTCCCATTTAAATAATTTTATTCTCCACATTGGGGGTAGTATCTTTCAATCTCAATTAAAATACCAATCTAAATTTTCCCTTCGTGCTATTTAAAATTCACTTACAATTGGAGAATATTAGAGGAGATATTTGGAAGAGATGTCACTAGTAGAAAATTAGGTCCTTCTTTTACAATTTTTTCAAAATGTTTTGTGTGTAAAAATGTGTGTATTGTGTTGTGTGTGTGTATATTTTATATATATATACATATATATATATAATATATATATATATATATATATATATATATATATAGATAGATAGATAGATATTTTTTATGAAAAAAATTTATTTATATTTACCGGCAGAATAGCCTTGAGTCTATTTTCTGGGACCGGACAAAAATAGATATTAGAAAAAAAAAAAAAAACAAAGATTAAAAATTTCGCTTCGAGTTTATTCTTTATTTATACTCGCACCGTTGATCAGTGATCGTGACTGACATTAA